TTCCCACGGTAAAACACGTTCTAATACAATCTAAAAAAATATTCATCATCAGAATTACTTGAAACTTGCTATTAATGATCTTCAATAAAATTTAATAAATACGTGTTTTAGCATTTTTCGAAATTCATCCTATTAGTGGGTAAAATTGGGGATGAAAGTTTGTATGAAAAACTACCTTTTTAGAGATTTTTCTGTAGTTTTAGCGCGAGCGAAGCCGCGGGTTCTGCTAGTTCTTATATAATTTCATTACAACATAGATGTTGACATATCAAGAGGTGAACAAATATATTACACAAATATAATAATATGTATAGTGTAAGTAAATATCCAAGGCGAACTCATCAAAATTCGTAGCATTAACATATTTGACGTATATGTAGTATCATGTAGACCTTTCTGTGGTCCCGTATGTTGACACTAACTAACTCCATCTAATTTTCAACTCGGCTTCAAGTCCCGGGGGATCCCTGGACATAGTACTTTGATCTCACCCGCATTTATATCACATAGTTCTTTGATTTATCAACTTTATATACTATGATTTATTTACAATGTTTAAATATCTTTGTTATAGATGTTTAATTTATGTTTTGTAAAGTAACTAAATACTGTTGTTAATTGGTACAGAATCAACAAAGGCAGCTTAATTGCCACTTATCTGTAAAGAATACTTATCTTAAATAGGTCTTTATTTCAACACTAGTGGCCTGCTTTTTCTTTCCCGTAATTTATATATTTTATTTGGGAATATTTTTTATATTAAACATTTATAATTTTTCTGGTGGTATTTTATCAATACGATAATAATATAATCTGTTGATTACTAAAATTAAAGATAAAAGCTTATAAATATAAGACTTTTAATATTTTAATTAAATTACGATTATACTCTACTAGCAGAACCTATGACTTCGCTCGCGTTAAAACCTTTTGGGAATACACTATTTACAACATAACAGCATCTGTAAAAAAAATATATATCTTAAATTTAACAAAATACAAATATTTTACCTTCTCAACGGTAATTGTCCAGCATTAGCAAAAGAAAGTGCGTGTCCAGTGGAGGGGGAGGGGTGGATGGGGTGTAGGAAGCCGCGCTTACTCATTTAAACTTGGCCAAATTCTAGAACTTTAAAGTTTAGAAGGTGTAAACATTTTATTTTTATTTTTGTATGAAAATAAAAATTTAAGAAATATTTTTTTTTCTTGTTACAGATGTTGTTGTTATGATGTAAATAGTATATTCCCAAAAGGGTTTCAGTAAATTAAAAATGAGCCTGTAGATGTTTAGATACTACATTTTGATAAAAACAATATCAAATAAACTGATTTAAATTTTCTAACTTCCTTCAAAGAAAACTCTTCCTATGTGGGTTGAGATTTAAGTGCTATTATCAAAATGTTTAATCAAGAATATTTGATATAAATTGAAATAGAATACTTATTATCGAATGTATTATGAATGTGAAATTTTATATACCAATATCCAAAGATCATATTTATTGTTGTATATACCTGAAAAAAACCTACACGTTTTAATTTTATTTAAAGGTTTTTTAGTTTTATTTTTTAGATGAGTTTTAACTTTTTTGAGCGGGACTCTAATTCTTTTTCTAAAATAAAAGTAGCCTATGTTACTCCCTATAACATCAGCTATCTATCAATGAAAGTCCCGTCAGTCCAGCCGTTTCAGAGATTATCCGGAACAAACAGACAGACAGACTTAAATTTAAAAAATGTGTTTTTCTTATAAGTACCGTATATGCATTTAGTAACACGCTGTTAATTTGACCTAGCAAACAGACACTTCAATTATATTTCTTATAATTATAATTATATCTGTATAGACTAGCTACTCACCGTCGTTTCACTTGAGTCAGTCCCTAGTCAAAAACAAAAACAAATCTATCCCACGGGAACCGTAGCTTTTTCCTTTGACTAAAAGTAGTCTATGTGCTATTCCATACTATAATCTATCTCTGTGCTAAATTTCATTGAGATATGTTTAGCCGTTCTGGTGTGATTGAATAACAAACATCAATTCAAACTTTCACGTTTATAATATTTATAAATTATAGGATAACTTATCAATTATTATGAATAAAATTAAAATTTGTGTCATTTTAACATAGCTCTCCCATAAAAAACAGCAATATGGTTATATGTAGAATGTAGAGCCAGTAAGTGAGAACAAGTCTTTTACGGGTTTTATAAATGATTCGAGTGCGAGTGACACATGTTATTTTTTACGTCATAACACAAGACTGGAGTCTAAGGAAAAGTTATTTTAATATATATTAATGAATGTAGTAGAAGAAATACTGAATGAACGAATATTATGAAGGTATTTTGTTTCATAATGGATTAAAGTTTAGTAAGACATTGCTTTCAAGCAAATGTCTTGAAATTCATTCATCATTTTATAATTTTAAATTCAACCTGAAAATTAAACAGGTGGCGCTTTCTAATTATCACAAAACGGTCCAATCTCATTAACATATATTAAAATTTTAATTATTAAACCACAAAATTTGATTCTAAAGGACACTAGAGATTTTACAACGTTTACCTTGACTGTTAAATTTAAATTTTGCTGGCACCGAGGGGTTTTGATAATAATTTGTTTTATTAAACTTAACATATTTTTATAATTTTACAAGATTTTTCTTCATAGTTAAAAGAAAAAAAGTCCGTTTTTCTTCTAAAGAACAAATGTAGTACTTAGTATATATAACTGAACAAATAAATGGCAATTGAATCATCATCATCATCCACCGAAAGATAGAGGACTGAAAATAGATCAACCACAAAGATAGCCACGATATTTAATTTTGTCACTCGCATCCTATATATTTTTGCGGATTTCATCAACAGCAACACATACAACAAGAAAAATAACTTATGAGGACCGACGTACTACCCGTGTTTAATTTCTGGTATATCTCTAATACTGAATAACTCGTCAGCTTCATCAAACATTCATTTTACGAGCAATGTACTCTGCTTATTAGTACTGAGAATTTCTTAACCTAAAAACTGAATAACTAAACTACCAAACCCGACCGACGACCCGACCCAGAACTCGAACCCAGGAACCTCGGATCTGCAGCTTTACAGTCACTAGACCACCGAGGCAGTTACATATAGTACGAGTATGTATTATTATATAGTAACTGGAGTGGTTACGACATGGACATTCAACATAATTTTCATCCTGTCCTTTATTTAACATCATGTTGAATTTCTCCATGGTGGCCATGACAACTATATCGTCGGCAAATCGCATGTGAGTGCTGTCCTCGCCCTTAACCACCACCATGGACCAGTCTAATCAGTACAGTGCCTTAGGGAGGTTTTCCTATACATTGGTAAGTAGTTTTGGGAAAACAATATCTCCTTGTTGTACTCTTCAGTGAAGAATCGTTTTATATACGTTTTGTGCGTTTCTCGTTCGATAGAAATGCACAAAAACCTATATAAAACGATTCAATAAAAAGTAATATTTAAAAGTACTTGCACAAAGCTATGTGTTTTCCATTAACTAAGTTAATAGGCATGTTTATGTCCAGTAAGCGGTATTAGAAAATCCGCAAAACTTTTAAATGACCAAAATGTATCTTTAAAAAAACCGGTTTAAAGCTGGCAGATTTTTTAGCCCGAGTTATTTGTAAATGCCGTCCGACGTTCCGATCGCCATTAAATGTCCGGAAGAGATTTATCTAGTGACTGCTACTTTTTAGCTTGATTTTTAACAAATTGAAGATAGAGGTCTATTAATGTTACGCCGCCAAAACTACTAGGGCATTTGTTACGAGAGCCTCATCTTTATATAATTTTACTTTATTTAATCTATACATATTATCTAGAAAAGCACAAACATATCTATCCCACGGGAACCGTTCATTATTCCAGGATAAAAAGTAACCTGTGTGTTTGACCGTCAGTATATTAGGTGCATAAATTGTTGTGTACTAAGCTGTATAAGTTACTTTAATTTTTAACTTCATCTTCATCTTTTTCATCCCTGAAAATTAAAGAGTTAACGTGGCATACATTAACTCTTTAATTTTCAGGGATCAAAAGTATCTAAAATGTTGACCGGGGATATAAAGTAACACCATGCAAAATTTCATTTAAATCGGTCCAACAGTTTCGAAGATGAGCCCGTATAAGCACAAACAGCCAGAAAAACAAAAAAAAATGAAAAAAACTGGATCTGTTCTATTTCTCTTCTTACATCCCCTGACTCGGTTTTTAGCATTTTTTCTGTATACAGACATTCGACCTCTACAGTTTTATTATATGTATAGATAGATATGGCATTTTATTAGTACGTTAGTGTTTTTCTTTACCATTATATTCTAAAAATCCTCCCGTATATATTATCAATTAAAAAGTAAATACCAATGTCGGATTATCGTTTTTCTGTCAGGTTTCAGTGGAATGGAAGGAAGTAGACCAGACAAACCGTTTTTTTAAATAAAAAACGAAGTCAACGTAATGACGTCTTGCGAGTTATGTGCTAAACATAATAAGAATAAGAATATTTATTTTATATTTCTTTAAACCATATAAAGGCCATGTACAAATATTAGAACAAATGAAATGAATAACATTTTATTTTAACTAAAAAGTTATATGAAGAATAATCTCTAGTAGGTAATAGCTATTTATTTACTAGCCATATTAGTACGACGATAAGATTTTTTTAATTCTCTCTTTTTAAGAAAAAAGGTCATATTTAAATATTACATATCCTGTCACCATGTCATGTCATGTCATGTCACCCCCACAATTAAGATGGATGGGACGACATCTAATAAAACATAAACCATACTAAAGAAATAGAACAAAAATGGCAGTGGGATTATAATCGTAAGTAAGACTTAAACTTAATGTTTACAAATGAATTCAAATATATGATGCATGAACAAATGAATTCAAATATATGAAGAAGATAAATAAAACAAAATATTCCAAATATTAAATAAATTTAATTAATTTATCACAATAAGTCTTTTGTCTAATTTTGGTGTGATTGGCGAACGCTTTCTAACATACCTCTCTAACACTTCTGTATCTTTTCCAACTACAGTCTTGTTTTTTCCATACTTATTCAACATCTGAAATGTAATTGAAAAAAATATAACAGATGATTAATATTATTTTTAATTAAACTTAGTTACTAATTTTTAAATATATTTTTTGATATCCTTTATACATAGACTTAGACTTTTGTTACTCTAAGTCGTTTAGTGACCACAGTAGGTGTACCCCTAAAAGAGTACGTGTACAAAAAAGTTCAAATCACGAATATTCAAATAAAATAATCAAATACTATTCATTCACTTACACTCCAATGTCATCATTTGCTGTCAAGCATTCAAAATATGAAGAACAAAAAATCTAAGTAAAACTGTGATAGAATTTGGATTCTATCACGGTTTTATTTACATTTTTTATTCTTGATATTTCGAATGCTTGTACGTGATTTGTATTTTATGAATATTTTAGTTCAAATTTAAATTCCTCAAAAATTAAATTAAAATATAATTTTTAAGACAAAAATTACCCAGTAATTATCTTAAAAATGCATTAGCTTACATAAAACTTTTTGAAGTTATACTTCTCTTGGCACGTGTGGAAAAAATTATGAGAGTAAAATTTTTACGATGCACGAGCACATCTACAGCCAAAAAGCGACATGATGAAGTTAGCTGGAAGCGACTTGATGAAGTTAGCTGCATTCCTTTTACAAACAGACAGTTGTGACATACGGGATGAAATCTTCAGATATTTTTGTTCTGTTAGGCCAAAGAAGTATAACTTCTTACGTGCGTACATAAGTACATACACACGTTTTTTTATCAAGATCGACACAGCAGTTTGTCCATAAAAGTATATTAAGCAAGAAACATAGTTTCATTTTCTTATTACCATTTATACGATAAGTGACAATAAGGATATAAGGCTACGTACACTAAAACCATTTCCACCTTTAGTTATGAAGTTCATCGTAGTAACTTGGTATTCCTTTTCTAGGTCCAAAGGAATAAACTCATCACCTTCCTTTATTAATACCTTTATTTCTAATTCTTCAGTCAAATTTAAAGTCAAATGCATGCCTAAAAATTATATAGATACGTGTAATCATTAATAACGTTGTGTTGAAATTGAAACTAAAAATAGAGAGGCCTTTTTCTAATGTTTTAAGGTATAAAAAACATATTTCGCCTGGAAAAAGAATGAGAGGTCCACAACATAGATCGGTAGTTAGATTATAACTAGCATTGCCCGCGGCTCTGCCCGCGTTCAGGTGACTAAAAACCAAATTCTTAGGTTTTACATATTAGTATACTCTTACAATGCAGTTTTTGTATTTTTTCTCAGAAATGAAACATTTTCCCGCGGTAAAAAGTATCGTATATGTTGACCTGGATAAGCAGCTTTCGCCATACCAAAATTTGTCAATATCCCTCCAGTGGTTTTTCTGTGATGCGGTAACAGACAGGCAGACAAAAAATCTAAAAACTATAGATTCTTTCTTAGATTTACGCGAATACTTGACATTTTAAATAAAACTATCTTTTCGGATTTTTTCGCGAATTTATTTTGATTTTTGGTTCCCGACGTTTCGAATGCTTTACAGCTATCATGGTCACGGGAGAGCCTGAGGTGTTAGATGTCTCTAAGGTATTATATAGTTGTTACAGACAACCTACCCACAATTAACAAAATGAATTCTTTATTGACTCGCTTATAATATTTATCTTCTCTTGTCAAATATAAAAACTGCAAGAATTTTCAGCAATATATTACATGACTGTACTAAAAACTAATAGTAGTACTATATGCTTACCAGATACTTGTGGCATCCAAGGGCCTTGAAATGGTTTAGAAACCCACGACATGCTCATACAATTTTTAAAAGCTTCTAATAAATATTTTCCTAACAGTGAGAAAGTAATTGCTTTATTGGTAAACGGTAATACATTAATTACCTCTCCCCGCGTTATGTCTGAAAAAATGTTTTAAGTATTTCTTTGCACCGACAAGTATTTTCACATTTTTTAATAAAAAAAGATCTAAGCCATTTTATGAAAAAAATGAGTTTTTTAGTAGAAGAACAAAATCAGTTAAAGTTTTTTTAATCCAGTATCACACAAGATTGATTTTTTTACTGTAACACTAATAAATAAATAAATATTTGGCGTTATAATGTAAAAAAAATATTATCAAAGAATTTTTCAATCTGTTGATTAGATTCAGAGATACAAATAGAGCTTCCTACTCCTAGTATATTAATATATGTATTTCGTATTTTTTTAAATGTTAGTGTAATTACTTACCTCCTTTCGGTATAGAACCTCGAATCATATTACGTAACACAAACGAAACATGCGGTAGATTTGAAATTTGCATTTCCTGAGTCTGAAATATTTTAAAGTTTGTTTTATCAAACATTGTAATAATATATTTATTAAATTATAAGTGTACCCTTTAGGCTTTTTATTGCCCCTGCTTCTTTGACGAGTTAACTTATGAATCAAGATCCGGCTGCAAGATTGTTACGTTCATCGAGTATTTAATCGAAGTATTTTTTATATACAATATTAAAAGGAACAATATGCTTTGACCGGGGTGCCTATTAAAATGTGCCCGCTAGTACGTTTAATTAAATAAATTTAATACATATTGTCAAAACATATTGTCCCTTTTATTATTGTATATAAAAAAATGATTTCAATTAAATATTCGATAAACGTAACAATCTTGTAGCCGGATCTTAGGCCATTACGACTATCGCAATTGCTAATACAAAATTAAAAAATATATGAGAACGTCACATAACGCTTAAATATGTAATTTCATACTTTGATTTGTTTTGAGTACAACCTTATCGAAGCCCTCTATATACTGTTACAGGACCGTTACACGTAAAACGTTCATATTTGCATTCGTGACTATATAAATGTATTTTTTAATTCAAACAGGATATTTATAGATACTTACAGCGTCTAAAAATGCATCTGCAATAAAATTTCCAATAGCACACTCCTGAAATCCACACGTCGATGCGAGAAAACCACCATCAACAAATCCGATTTTTTCATTGACGAGATTATGAAGTTTATCTGCATAGGGCTTCAACAGAGCTTTTATTTCAGGATCTGCAAAAATATGGATACAAAGATTATTCAAATAATTCCTAAGAAAAATAATACTGTGGGTAATTCAATACTGATTTATACCAAAAATATAAAGAGGCAGAGTCTGTTTTTTGTTCCTTATTTTATTTGTTTGAACGCGCTAATCTCAGGAACTACTAATCTGATTTAAAAAATTATTTTTGCATTAGATAGTCCTTTTATTGAGAAAGATGGGCTATATAATATATAGTCTATCTATTCCATACTAACCGTTAATATAGGCGGAAAAAGAATTTTAAGGATTCAGCGAAAATGTATAAAATGATTCATCAGAGACTTAGAAACTGATATTCAAACTGCTTACCCTATATTAAAAATAATCTAATCTACTTTTCGTCAAATTTAACACGACGTGTAGCTACGAAATAATGTTGTATTAATTACACTCTATCTAAGCAAAACTGATGGTTGTGTTGGTTGGGAGTTGGGAAGTTGGCGGTGTTTCACCCTCGTGCCTCGGAGAGCACGTAAAGCCTCTCACTCTCTCTGGTCTCTCACTGGTCGTGTCGAGCAGTCGTCCCACCGGAGTATGAGAATGACAGGAATAGAGAGTGTGCCTACAACCTGTGCCTGCGCGTACACTTGTGCGCTCTAATATCTCCTGTGCAGTTGGCTAGTCTCGATGAGATTGGCCGCCGTGGCCGGAATCGGTCAGGAGAACATCATCCTCATGTATTTAAAGCTATATATCTTACCATGGAACTAGATGGCACTATGTTTTAATGTCCTAACATTTATTATTTATTATTTATTTCTACTTAATCGAGTCAAGAATCAGTTATTATTAGTGTTAGTCAAAAACATGTCATCGATAGTAACACACAAAGTAAAATAAATTTTGAAAGTATTTTGTAAAGTACATACCTTCAGGAATTGACCTATTAAGAAAGACAGGATCACCATCGAAATCTATCAACTCTCCTTTATTATCAAAATACACTGTTAAGTTACCCAAATATTTTGTAAAACATGCCGCTGTTACTATTAATACCTAAAAATATATTTAAATTTTATTCCAATTGAAACTTCCTTCTTATATTTCATTTTTCAAGTCTATAAAGTTAAAATAAAAGCTTGGAGCTTTTTTCAGTTTATTGGTTATTTTAGCAGTCAAGCAAAATATTTTTTTGCTTATAAAATATTATACACCTTTTCTATTTATAATTTCATGAAAAAAAAGTTTTTTTATGGTTTGAGCAACATAATACGTCTGTTACATTTGTTTTTGTACCTGATGATCCGAATTATTTTTAGAATTAACGAGGACAGGATAGGGTCCTGAAATATATTCTTTGCTTGGTGACTCTCCATTCCATAAAAGACTGTGTGAATGTCCTCCGACAATGACATCAATGTTCTCTCCCACCGTCTCTGCTATTTGTCTAGAAAAACCATTAAACTTTATCTACATATATTACTACACTTCTAAATAACCCTATCTTTTTGATTTTTTTTAAATTTTTGCTTCAAATCATGGTCATTCATAATCCAAAAAACAGTTTTATTTAAAATATCAAATATTCGCGTAAATCTAAGAAAATACTATGATACGCTTTTACTTATTTAAATATTCTATACTACAGACTATTAACAATATATGAATATACATATATCACCTAAAGTGAAACTATATTAAAACATTGAAACTTGAACTTAATCAATATGTACGTATTACACCTGAGATCGCAGTTGAAGCAGTTATTAGTCCCAGCCTAAATAAACACCGCACGAATAATAGCCACCGACAATGGGTGATACTGAAATGAGGTGTCACTTTGTTCTCGGCCTACGTGACGTGAAATTAACATAGAACTTCTTCAACTTCAGAAAAGTAGCTTAAAATTAGTACGTATACTATTATAGCCACAGATGATGTGGCGTATAGTATTGAGTCCTCTTTTAAAGTACCACTGCTGGGCACGGACTTGCCTTTACTACAGGGGAAATCTGGCCATAGTTCTCCACGCTAGCCAAGTGCAGATTGGCGGACTTGACATATCTTTCGAAAACTTGCTAGGTTCTCTCACACATGCAGGTTTCTTCACGATGTTTTCCTTCTCCGTAAGATAAGTTGTAATCAGGTTGGAAATTATTCGGACATGATAATATAAGATCTGCTAGACCCGGGATTTGAACCCCCTTCACTCGGTTTCCTAATTAAGCGCTTTACCACTGAGCTACCACTATTTTAATTTTAATGTATCGAATCCCTTTAAATTGTCTGACTAGAATTGTGTCATATGTAAGAGCTGATTGAACCAGTTTTCTAACACAATTTTTATTGACTGTAAAGCAGTGATGCCAAGAAAAGGGCAAAGTTTGAAATGTTTGACATAAGACATATAGAAGATATTCATACATGTATTTAATTAAAATGTAAACATTATAAAACATGACATAATACTGGTATTAGCCTCCTTGAAAGTCATCAATCCTTCTCCCACTTAACACTAAGCGGATGTAGGATATGCGTATAATTTATTTGATCAAGAATAAAGTTATTGAAGTATATTACTTTCATAAAAGAATATTATGCACCGGAGTCAGCATCTTGACAGGTTTATTGGAAAATATGTGAGCTAGCTACTTTCTTTGCATTTAAATCGTCGACAAGTCAAAGCTAAACTTATCGTATGAACACACTTAAATATATGAGGTTTACTCTAGTCTTATTATTGTGTATATTTTATGAATAAGATTTTGAATAACAATAAACGCGGAATGACATTTATATCTTTACTATAATTATATAGTAGGTTATCCCGATCTATGTGGTGAAGCCCACCATCTTTTTCCAGACGATTTTTTTTAAACTATAAAACTTAACAAACACGACACAGAGGGGTTGTCACCAAAAATTTGCTCCAGGCTATTTTTAATTAAGAATCGCTACTTTGATGTTTTGGTCATGTTTGTTAATATATTTTATGGTTTAAAAAATATTTTTCGTCTGAAAAAAGGAGAAAAAGGGGTCCATAGATCGGGATCTTAGACTAAGTAATGTTTCCTAAATATTAATCAGTTTGGTGTATTAATATCAAAGGAAAACCTGCATTTCGTAAATAATTTACAACGGTAGAATTATTTATTTCATGTCAAGTAAATGAAAACTTTTATTTAGTAAAAAACTTAAATGATATTGTGAAATTGATAAAGAATTCTAAAGTCGTTTACCCACTTGTCAATGTCGAGTCCGCAATGTGACAGAACTATTATTATGTCCACTCCTTGATCCGTTAGTAATTGAGCTTCTTTTTGAACTGTTTTTATGGGATCTAAGAATTTAACTTTTTCTGTATTTGATGACATCTGAAAAAATATTATCGGAGTTAAAAGCGGCTTATTGTATTTTAAAAGAAAACCCCTTACGCAAATTAATTGTCATTTAACGATTACACTGGCACGCGTGCTTCACGCGTAATTATATATCTTAATCGAGTAATCATACGCCAAGATGCCTTACATCGTTTTGATAAAGTGCGGATACTCTTACATTGCTAGACCGATATTTACCAAACATAGCTAAGAAGCACCGCAAGAAAACTGGCTTTCAAAAGAAAAAAAACCGCATCGAAATCAGTTCATCCGTTTGAGCGCTACGATGCCACAGACAGGCACACACACAGACAGACAGACATCGACGTCAAACTTATAACACCGTTCTTTTTGCGTCGGAGGTTAAAAACAGAAATGTTTTCGATTTGGTATCTAAATGAACTATTATTTTTATATTTTTCAGTCAATTAAAGTTAATATTTTTATTAAAATATATAAAAATGTGCTTAAAATTATAGTTTATAGTTTTTCTTAGACATACGACAGGTAATATGTGAAAAACACTAACCTTGGTTTCTGTCGTAATCAGACCAATTATACCTATTTTTCTTCTACGTCTTTCTATGATTATATGTGGCTTATATAAACCATTTAGATTAGGTTCAAGACTCGTATCAATATTAGCTACCACCACTGGAGCTTGGAGTGCCGCAAGATATGGCGCTAAGCCCGCAATCCCATCATCAAACTCGTGATTTCCTATTGCCTAAAAAGAACGAAAATATTCATTATTTAAAATTATTGACGTGAAACATTTATTAGCGCGCCTTGGCAATAAAACCGACTCGTGGTGTGACGACAAACGATGGCGTGACGATGTCATACCATCATGCCCATTCAAAGCCACCGCTCTCGACTCCCTTGTACGCGCGCGTATACTACATACTCTCCATTATAAAACAGTCTGTATTCAAAATACTGACATATTTTCTATTCTATTTATGAATATTTATAAAACTTTATTTATTCTTTATTTTACTCCATATTTCATTATAGGTTTTTATTAATTATGAATTCTAATATTGACATAGATGTGTCACATCTGGCGGGCATCCGTGACGGCCAACTTTTATTTATTTATGACAATAAATGCCACTGAAATAAGACATTACTATGTAAAGATGCACAATAGCATTGGTAAATGGAGTAAATAAAATTAACTTGTTATTAGTGATATCAAATGTATTGAGTGAAACACCTGCACTCAATACATTTTATATTACTGATTACCTACAAGGTACTTTTATAAAGAAATATATTCAGGTAGTTATAATAAAATTAACATCTGCACTCAATACATTTTATATTACTGATTACCTACAAGGTACTTTTATAAAGAAATATATCCAGGTAGTTATAATAAAATTAAGCCAGTTTTAAAATTGTACAGTGTAGATTTTTCATTATTCTTTTTTTTTAATTGACATGTTTGATGTTACATATACAATATACATATATAAATCTGAGTAATATATCTTATTAAAGCGGATCGGTTTTCATTCCCGGAGAAGAACAATACAGATTGACTATACAGATATTTACCAGGTTACACTTGAATAACCGCGATATTTAGAGGCACCAATTTTTTGGCAAAAAATATATAACAATTATATTATGACTTAACCCGGGACATGTTTGCCAAAGGACAAATAAGGTTTTTTATTAAAATCAGATTTTGAAAAAAAATAACATTTGGAACTTACATGAGCATCATTAGGTAATAAATTAATAAATTTTTCTGTAATGTTCCACTTCAACAGTGTATACCAATAGGTTCCTTGAAAAGTGTCTCCTGCATCCAATACTAATGCACCAGGTTTTTCCTTGAGTAGAGTTTTGATTTCATAGTACATACGTGCAAAACCTCCCAAACATGAAGTATTATTAGAATGGCACACTGGATATGACACTGTTGTTTCTTCGAATCTAAAAATATAATTATGTATAGCTAGCGACTCACCCTCGCTTCGCTCGAGTTCGTATTGTTATTATGTTGAATTGACATAACTTTTTGAAGTTTTCTTTAGAATCGTTGCGATTTGAAACTCGATGAAACGAAAATGTGACACAAAAAAGAGACAAACACCTAACTATATAGGATTAAGCCGGCGAGAGAATGAGATAGAGTATATTACACAAGAAGTGGAAAATAATATTTAATAATATGTTATGTATTGTATTATATTAAATAAAATGTAAAATAACTTTTAAATTTGGTAAAAAAAACTAAAATTTTAAATTAAATTATTTAATTAAAAAAAACTCACAATTGTCCTACTCCTGATACTCTATATATGTATGTTAATCTCATTCTGTCGTAGGTTACTATTTTGAAGTTTCACTTCTACCGTGAGTGAATTGCATACAAACACATTTTTTTTATTTATGTAGCGATTGAAATAAAATAAATACTAAATGTTAAACGAAGCTTACCATAAGACATTAGTGAACTCACCCAAATCAGTTAAGAACAGACAAAAAATCTAAAAATCATTGTTTTGGGTTCTATTGCATTAATAAAGACCCACAATAGTGTTTCTCAGATATCTTCCATGTACAGAAAGCGATCAGTTACAATTTTATTATATGTGTACTAATATTATAAAGAGGTAGGTAAAGTTGTAAGTTTCTGAGTTGGTTTGTAGGAAGTAGTCTCTGGAACTACTGATCCGATTTAGATGAATTTTGGTAAGAAGATAGTTTGGGACCCTGGCTGGCTATCCTGGGTCCTTCACAGCTTCCGTAGCTTTTATCCCGGAAATCATCCCTTGAGGAGATAAAAAGGGGGGTAAAATTTTATACGGGGAATCAATCATTTCTCAAGTTACGGATATAAAACTCATCATACCTATTTAATATTTATATACAAAAATACAGTCTATCTATTCCATAATAACAGCTAAAACGTACCTAGGGAACCCGGGCGAAGTGAGGTTGAGTCGTTAGTCTATACATATAATAAAATTGTAACTAATATAATAAAATTCTAACTAAGCCGAATCTGTACATTAGATATTTTTGGAAAATCATATTGAAATAAACATTATTATCCATACAGAGGCCTAATCTATAGTTTTTAGAACTTTTGTCTCTCTATCTATCAGCCTGGGAACGCATCACGAGAAAACCACTGGACAGATTTTGATGATATTTGGTATGATGATAGCTGGTTATCCGGGTCAACATATAAGATATTTTTACTACGGGAAAATAACTAATCTATGAGAAATCTATACTAACCATTAAAACGTATCGAGCCCAAACAGAGCGAGTGAGTCGCAGTCGGTGAGTCGCCAGTCGAATTAGTTATTATTAATTAGATTAAAATAATTTTATAAACTTAGATTAGTTTATAAAATTATTTTATAAATCATGGGTAAAGTCACATTTTATACTTCAGCTATTAACCCAATCAGATAAAATGGATGTAGATTTCAATGTGCAAATGTAAAAAATTTGGGATACACAGTGTACATACGATGTACATAATATATACATATATATATATATATATATATATATATATACGATGTATTTTTTAAATGTAATTTCGATCACATTTTCCTCTATAATAATAATATCATTTATTTAATTATTTAATTCAGCAATGATTCATGATAAAAGGAATTTGATTATCGTCTACAGCTCTGCTGGACTTTAATTTTTAAATTTATCTTTAGATATCTCCCTTTAGGGAGAAAGAAAATGATCTTTAACAAGATCTACTTGTGAGTCCATCTGTCTCTTCCGAATTTACTGAATAGAATATCTCGCTATTAAACGATAGGGACTTGCCAATTTCTATATATCGCTCCTTGTCCACAACTACTCTCGTCACTCATCGCACAAGACACCGTATAAAAATTACAAGTGCTTAGACTTGAAACCACTCGTTATACGCTGTACACGCGAAAACTTGATAAAAATGATTTCTGTCTTTTTCAAAATTTAGGATGTGTGTATGATGAGTATTGAAAGTCGATTTTAAAGTGTTTTTGCCAATTGCATCCCCGTTCCATTAAAATTGCAAAAATACTTACATCTAAAATAAAAACTAATAACAAATTCTATTACTAAATACAAAATTAAAATTTTAAGTATTACTGAATTAAATTAATTGACAGTTTTTTTTCATTAAATATCAATTCAAAACATAAGGACTAGATAAGTTCCATATTAAAGAAAAGCCAGTTTAACACAATTAATTAATCAATGTAAATAACTCCAACTTGCATGATAAATAAAACATAGGATCTTCGAAATATTAACCCAAAAATCTTATACGTTTAGTATGTTTGTTCATCTCAGTTTCACATACTGCATCGTAGTACGATTTTTACATGTTTTATGTATATTGAAATCATATATGGGTACTTTTTAGCTATTATTGCGGAGCATCAAGTAGCTTTTAAAATAAGACGAACTTTACAAAATCATTCAGACTCAAACATCCTCTATTATAAGGAAGGAAAGTATGATAATAAATACTATGAAGGAAGTGCTTTGAGGGAAAATGAGAAATATACGGAATATGTATCAAATTGCAACAGAGCTGATCTCGTTTATCAAAGAGGTCGACATCTCGTAAACGAAGATGAATGATAACCCTTTCCGCAGATATCTATTTAATTCTATTTATTTAATTCAATCATAAAATAATACGTTTGTAAAGAAGTGTGTAATCCTGTCTTGATCTTGATATTTAATATTAGACTTTCGTGACAGACAGACAGCATAATTATTATTTTTTTAGCATTAAGCAAAAATCAAAGAGACATGATGTATTTCTTAGATCTTTATCTCACGTTTTTCTTTGTACAATAAAAAGTGAAAATTTTTACTTCTCATATTGACCATCGCTTTCCACTGGTATGTTATCTAAATTAGATTTTCTTATGATTTCGATAAGTCCAACTATTTTTATGCAGTTATTCAAGTCCGTCTCTTTATATCGAGCTTAGAAATTCATATTTTCTAACAAAACTCAAAAATTACAACCTTATATATAAGTATATGAACCGCTATATAATACTATGCATAAAAGAAATTTAAAGTTCTTCATATTATATAACAGAGAGTAAAAAACGTCACACTAAAGTAAGTCACATAAAAACATAAGTGCGTGAGTTAAACTCGTATAGGTCCATTTTTTTATTTTTAACGTTGGGAAATGCATTTGGGCAACTACCTGCATATATAAATACATGTGGGGTTATGTGAGATTCACCAGAAAACTCAGTACTAACCACTAAGCTCCATTGGAGCTTTCCCCGACTTAATGGGGCGTAGCAGAATTGCTTACGCACTCAATCATGACACATCGACGGCTGACCTGCTGAGACTGACCACAACAACCATAGAGATGCTCCCATAGTCCACTCTGCATCAGAAAAGAGCGAGCATCCCACATGGTACCACCTTCCAACGTAGTGGACCGCCACCAAATTACTTCGTAGTGGACCGCCATCAAATTTCTTGGCTTCACCTCCAGCTAGATTGCCGGACACTAATAAGTTATATTTGTAAAGTTCTATTATGTTTTTTTTATAAAATTTCATTTACACTTAGGAATATAGGAACTAGTACAAAATAATTTCTTTAAGTAAATGAAGCTATTGCTCTGCGTCTTGTACTATCCTATATGGATGGAATTTTAAACAGCTGTCTTAAAGGTAATCGTGAAGTTCCACTTGCATTTACGTAAGAAAAACAGACAGCCAGCCTATTGACATACTTCTGTACGTTTACTGTCCTATGTTAATTTGCATGAAACGGAAATTATAGCTTATGTGAGTGTAAACATTCAAAGTATGATAACATTAATGCAGTAATACGACGATTCGATGACGCGTGTGGCTCAGTTGGTAGAAAACCTACTTACGCGGTCGCGGGTTCGAGTCCCGCTGGGGGTATTCATTTGTCTGATGAGCACGAATGTTTGTACTCCAGTTATAGGTATTTATATTTATAATATGTATGTATTTAAAGTTATATAGGTATGTGTTGTGTAATCAACTATCTCGTATCCATAACAAAAGCCGTGTAGCTTACCATGGAACTAGATGGTGCTGAGTGTGAAGTTCTCAGTATATTAATTTATTTATTATTTATTAATACTAAGATTACATACTACACTCTACAACACGGCCCACAGGTCGGGTCAATTCGTTCAAGATGGTTAGAAACTAAGATTTTAATATCAACGGTAAGACGAATTGACTAATCCACAACGTAGTTGAAATACAACGATAACTTATAAATATAATATGCACCATACTGTTTTTATATAGAAAGTTGCCAAAAGTATGTCATTTGCTTTAATAAACGCAGTTATTTTTGCTAACTAAATGATTTCTCGTAAATATCGTACAAAAATGCATGACGGTTAACAACCTCTTTCAATCACCTATTTCCATTTTTTGTAAAACTTGTTTTTTTTTCAGCAAAACTTGTTACTACATAATGATATGATTTGAAATGATTTATAATGACTGATTATATTGAGATGACATATAATCTATACTAACATTATAAAGAGGCAGAGTTTGTCTGTTTGTTTAAACGCGCTATCTCAGGAATTTCAATTTTTTTTGCATTAGACATCCCGTTTATTGAGGCAGACTATAGGCTTTATATTGTCATACTACTCGTACTACCCAAGGCAGTAATATATACATATATAGTTTATCTATTCTATACTTACCGTCAAGACGTACCTAGCGAAGCGAAGGTGAGCCGCTAGTCTATACAGATAAATAAAATTGAAGAGTCTGTTTGTAATGTCAAAATAATAGCGTTTTACTAAATGCATAAGAAATTATATACGGTACTTATAAGAAAAACACATTTTTTTATTTTTCTCTGTCTGTCTGTTTGTTCTGGATAGTCTCTGAAATGGCTGGACTGATTTTGACGGAACTGTCACTGGAAGATTGCTGATGTTATAGGGAGTAACATAGGCTACTTTTATTTTAGAAAAAAATAGGGTTCCGCTCAAAAAAATTACAACGTACCTAGGGACGAACGAGCGAACTATGAAATATGATTGAAGAATTAATAGTGCATCTTTAGATGCCTAACAGTAACTATCTGTATACTTTACTTCCAAATCCATCCCATTCAGCGTGAAAGTCTAACAAGCATTCATTTTTAAGAGCAGCGTGATAATATTTAGTTACAGTAAGAGGCTATTACGCAATTATGTATAGCACAGTACCTCTCTTTAACTCCCTACAAGGAATATAAAAAATGAAGTTACGTACGTATGTATAAATTTAAAATGAAAGTTGTTTTCATTTCATTATCGATATATACATATAGATTACTGGCTTTTGAGTATTTTTTTATTTGTATTAGGTATAAAATTGCTCCGTTTCTAACGGTTCATTGCATAAAGTTTAGTGTAGCTTATAAAATTAATACGTGTTCATTCAGCCCTTTTTAACGTCCCACTGCTGGGCACGGGCCTCCCTTCAATACGAGGGGGATCAGACCATAGTCCACCACACTGGCCAAGTGCGGGTTGGCGGACTTCACATGTCTTTTAAAAACTTGCTAGATTCTCTCAGACATACAGAATTCCTCACGATGTTTTCCTTCACCGTTAAAACAAGTGGTAATCATGTTGGAAATGATTCGCACATGAAAATATCAGAGGTGTCAAAATATCATAAAGTTTAGTGTAGCTTATAAAATTAATACGTGTTCATATTCAGCCCTTTTTAACGTCCCACTGCTGGGCACGGGCCTCTCTTCAATACGAGGGGGATCAGACCATAGTCCACCACACTGGCCAAGTGCGGGTTGGCGGACTTCACATGTCTTTTAAAAACTTGCTAGATTCTCTCAGACATACAGATTTCCTCACGATGTTTTACTTCACCGTTAAAACAAGTGGTAATCATGTTGGAAATGATTCGCACATGAAAATATCAGAGGTGCGAGACTCAGGATATGAACTAGCTTCACTCGGTTACCCAAACGAGCGCGTTACCACTGGGCTACCACTGCCTATAAAAAACTCTATAAAAAATTAATATGCTGTAAAATAAGAGAAGAACAAGCACTAATATGTAAAAAATAACTGATTGGTAGTTTTCATTTGCTATAGATACCTACGTCTAATCAGATATTTTCGAAGTCGGTGTTCTTTGATTTGTATCGGCTGGCACCGACTTCCAAAATATCTGTTTAGGTATGTATAGTATATGAAAACTACCAATCAGTTATTTTTTTTAATTTTTAGTCCTTTTTTTTAGTTTTTATTTTTCCTTTTTTAGTGTAGAAATAGTGTCAAATTAAGAAGAAAGTATTTTTTTAAATACAGTAGGTGAAAAATCAATTATCCCCTTATTTTCTACACTTAGGGGCAGAATTTTTTCAAATTTAAATGGGACCAACTTTGAAGTAAGCCCTGTCCAAGAATAAAAAGATAATCGAAATCGGACTACACTATAAAAAGATATGCGTGGTCAAACAAAAAAAAACAAAATAAACGTATCAAATTGAGAACCTCCTCCTTTTTTCGTCGGTTAAAAAACCTATATCTAATCTCTAATCTAATCCTACAGGAGAGCCCTTCTACAGCTGTGTTTAAAACGAACATAAAAAAGCATTTTCTAGCTCAATCTTGAACAATATATTTTTCTGTTTAACATTTATTTGCATATGTATGTTTATGTATATATTTATATGTACGTATATATTTATATAGTTTTGGTATGTATTAGATTACATGTTTATATTATATATCTATAATTGTATTTATGTATTTATGTTATATAATATGTATGTAATTAAAATATGTATATGTTTTTTATATTTTCATATATGTATATTAATGTATTCATATATTTAACTTTTATTTATGTGCCATACTTATATACTTTACTATAACAAAAATTCTGCACTTTCTCTTTCTGTCCCGCTATTTAACACTATTTCCCACATGCATGGGTTGACTGGAAGAGATCTCTTATAGAGATAAGTCCACCTTTGTCCACGTCACTTTCTATGTATTTTGTTTTTTATAATTTATTTGTGCAATAATGAATATATAGATATCTTTTTTGAGTAGTTTTAAACACTGATTTAGAGTGATCGAATAAATATTCGGTACAGTTATTACATCGCAGAATGCGCAAAAAACGAATGTCCTTGAATAATCGGTCCATATTTTAATTTCACAGAAAATGAGGGCATTAAATCGTACTCGTTTTTAACCTGTTTGTTACAGAACGTAATCTGTCTTCTAAATGTATAGAATCGGCATAAATTTGAATCCGATTTTAAATAAGAAGGTGCTATTTTACTTGTGCATGTATTTTGAGTTTGTTACAAGTCATCTACGCTAATTGTGAACCAATTTTTATAATTCCTTCTTTTTAATGAGTACACGACAGTGTACATATATATATATATATATACACAAAAAAAATGTTTTCCAAAAAGTACAATAATATCTGTCAAAACTAATTATCATTTACTTAAATAAAAAATCATAATATTTTCCGTTTACATCGGATGCGCGCGCACAACAGACAAACAAATAAACAACAATTTTAAAATATATTCATACTAGCGACTAACCCTCGCTCCGCTCCGGTTCGTCCCTAAACTTTTATTATACATTTCTCAAAAATGAGTTATTTTCCCGCAGTAAAAAGTATCCTACGAGTATATGTTGACCCCGATAACCAGCTATCATCATATCAAATCTCATCAAAATCTATCCAATGTTAACAGACAGATAGACAGACAGACAAAAAATTCAAAAAACTACAGATTCGGCCTCTATATCGATAATAATCTTTATCTTAATAAAATTAAAAAAAAATATATTTAATGTACAGATTCGGCTTAGTTACAATTTTATTATATGTATGGATATAGTATTATTTACTCCTAAATTCAAATATCTTGCTAATAAAAAGTTAACAAAATAACTAAAAACAACTATTTTATAAAAAAAACATACCTACTCTAAAGAAGCTGAACAAATTAATGCATTGCAGTAGAATTTGTACACAAATCTCACCTTGCATGAAAATCATTATAATGAATGATGTCTAGCTTAAACGAGTTATTTTTTAGCACTCCACCATCAGCATATCCACTAATCACTAAAATACTCGAAAATATTACTATAATATTCATTTTTAATATTTAAAAATATCGATAAAAGTATGTCACATCTTTTAAGTTTGTATAAACAGCTGTCGCGCGTCAGTTTAAACCGCGCGTTTATGTACTACTAAATAGTACTTCACACGACATCAGAATAAGATAACTGGTGCTATTGTAATGCTTCGTGTAATATGCGCTTTTGTAATACCATACTCTTATGAGTTTGTAATAAAAGTGATAATGTTATAACACAGTTTCATCGACCGAACAGCGGTTGTGAAAGCAAATTTTACAAAATTACCAACACGATTTACCAATCAAGGCAAGTGTTAATTATTCATATTCAATTCTTTTATAAATTCTTACAATATATCTGTAGATATGGCAATTTTATCCCGGTTATTTTGGAAATCATTGCGAAGTTATTATTACCTACTTTTCGATTTTTTTTCTCTCTCCACCTATCATGTAAGCCGTGTTTGATTTCAATAATTTCTTTTAGGAATGTTTAAATATTTCATTTTAAGGGTTCCGTACCCGAAGGGTGCCAACGGAACCCTATCACTAAGCTTCCGCTATGAAATTTTTACAGACTATATATTTCTATTGCCGCTATAAAACAACAAATGATAAAAATAAAAATACATGATTTTTTTAACGTTCGCAATCAATCATCGAAGTTAATATACTACTACATATATAGAGTAAAAGCTATATTACGGAACCCTTCGTGTGCAAATTCGGCTCGCACTTAACTAATTTTTAATGGTTCCTTTGATACATATAATGAAACATGTTTTTGTAATATTCATTATTTACTTATATTTATAATCTTTAATTAATTAATTATTAGGTTAACTATCATTAAGTGGCTGACGTGTAATAATTTTGCTTATTACTTATCTTAAATAGAAATTGAGATTTTTAATGTATATTCGCAATTGACGAAAAAATTTAGCAAAAAGGATTTTTTTAATAATAATTAATATAAGACACTGTTTGTCGAAATAATAACAAAATAATATGAGAATAAATAAATCTGCCTTTATAGAGTATTCAGTTGTTGGTATAGGCTTTATTTACACCAATATTAATATTAAAATCTCGGTGGAATCAAATTTATCGAATGCACACAACAGGGAAAACCTTGCGCTAACAAACGAGGCCACTCTTCATTTTCCTTATTTTTATACCGTAGGTATTCAACTACTATAAAATATAAATAAAATATAAAAGTCAAAGTCGGCTTAAAAAAGATAATATCTTGAATATCTAATCCCACTACAAAATAAAACAGGTAATTTTTTTTTAAGTTTAGGGGTTTTATTGAAAAGAAAGCTGATAATAATAATGTAGATTATGTAATAAAAGCTAAAAAATAATCAAGTTCTAAGTACCAGTCATCATACCACGTTCTTCATCAATCTAGTCCCTAGGGTACTGATCAGACTCAAAAATAAAAACGTGGAGCGTACCGTAACCTGAGTAAATATGTAACCAAAACAAACAGAACAAGCTAAATAAAACCGTACGAAGATAATAAAATGCACAAAAATCTATTATTCTACAAAAAATCAACGCTTAGTAACCAACGATTTGAAACGAAACGCTGCAGTTCTTGAGAAAATATATTAAATGCTGTTTCAATTACGAAGGTGTAAATTGCAGAATCTGTATTTTATCTTCAACTGGTAAGATCGTGACCAAAATCGCAGACTTGAAAAATTATCTTCTTGCTAACGTAAAAATAGTCAGCGCTGGATTTAGACTAGGCACTAGCCCAGGGCGGCAAATTTTTAGGGGCGGCAAAATTCTGAGGGTGGGAAAAAAATCTCTTCATGTTATCGAAAACGCTTTCTTTATTTTCTAAAAAATGATTAAAAACAATTAAATAATATTTTTTTCAAAAAATTAACATCATTTATAAATATATATTTTTATTGTAATAGTTATTTTTGTAGTTGTATAATAAGATTGAATCCGGCCCTGAAAATAGGGAATAGCAAAATTTTACTTTAACTTACGAATTGGTTATTAAATTTGATATTACACCAGGTTTTGCAATCCTTTATCAAGAAGAGTAAGTTCATATTTTAATTTAAAAAAACTTTGGAATCGTTATGTTTTTAAAACATTCTTTAATCTTTTCCATCTGACGTTTAGAAAAAAATACTTATTTCTATGTCGCTTAAATTAATCTGGAGGATGCGTACATTCCTCGATTAATATTTATCATTTAAAGAAAAAGAGCAAGTTTATTTAACTTAATAGGTTCGGTACATATTACATTTAATAAAAGGAAACTCATCTATCTATACAATATACATATAATAAAATTGTAACTTAGCCAAATCTGTACATTAAATATATTTTGGAAAATCTTATTCAAATAAATAATATTATTATCGATACAGAGGCCGAAACTATCGTTTTTAGAATTTTTGTCTGTCTGTCTGTCTTGCTAAAAAGGTATATTATAATCATAATATTATTTAAAAAGTAAATGCGGTTGAGGCAAAGGTATTATAATATGACACAAAAACATACATCCGTACACAATTCCTAGAAAGTCATAGTCCCTCCTCTTTATTTAATTTCGGCTAATTTACAAAATACAAGGTCTGTAACTTTATTGATTACTACGTAGTGCGTTACTGCCTCGGTGGTGTAGTGGCTAGCATGTACGGCAGCACACCCGGAGTTCCTGGGTTCGAGTCAGGCGCGGGTCCAGAGTTAAATTTTGGGGGGGGAGGGGGTCATAGGCTGAAATATACATATAATAAAACAGTAACTTAGCAAAATCTGACCAGGAGCGGATCTTGTTTTCATTTTGGTCTTTGGATGGCTTTGACAGACAGACAGACAAAAATTCTAAAAACTATAGATTCGGACTCTGTATCGATAATAATGTCTATTTCTTCTATTTAATTAAATTTTCCAAAAAAGGTTTAATGTACAGATTCGACTTAGTTACAATTTTATTTGTATATAGATTTCTGCAAAAACTTTTTAATATTCATGAAACTAGGGGAATATAATCTTCAAAATACATATAATAACCATTTTTTTTTAAATCGATATGTTTATCCGTTTATTCCTTCCTTTCTTAGACTTCAAACTTCTCTAAAAGTATATTTGTCTTTGGGGGGGGTCATGACCCCCATAACCCCCCCCCCCCTTTTTTTTAACGTTAGGAAATGCATTTACAACAAAACCTTCCCCCGTCTTAATGGGGCGTCGCAGGATCGCTTACGCATTCAACTACGACGCCCCGACGGCAGGTCTACCGAAGCAGACCACAACGACCACGGGGTTGCGCCAAGGTCCACTCTGCTATCAGAGAAGTACCAGGAGCAACCCGCATGGTACACTGCCCTCCGAAGAGGGCCACCTCCCACCGACCACCGAAGTGGGCCACCTCCCTGTGCGTTTCTTGGCTTCGCGCGCAGTTGGGTTGCCGGGCACTACTGAGCCCCCCCACCACGACAAGGTGAACGCACGTTGGAGGGGTGACCCCCCCCCCCCCGGATCCGCGCTTGGTTCGAGTCTCGGGTCGGGCCAAGTTTAGTTATTGAGTCTTTCTGTATAGTAAGTCTCAGTAACAACCCGGAGTTGGGAAGTTGACGGTGTTTCACCCCCGTGCCTCGGAGAGCACGGAAAGCCGTCGGGCCTGCGCCTTAACTCTCACCGGTCGTGTCGAGTGGTCGTCCCACCGGAGTATGAGAGTGATAGGAATAGAGAGTGCACTTATGTCTGCGCGTATACTTGAGCGCTATAATATCTACTGCGCAGTTGGCTAATCTCAATGAGATTGGCCTCCGTAGCCGGAATCGGCTAGGAGAACATCATCATCAGTGCGTTACTATTTTGTCAATTCCAAAGAGATATTTTTCTCAAAAAAAATTAGAATTTTGTAGTTGAAAATAAAATTATATTGTGTGAATATTATTACGAGTTAAAATGCGTACAGACGGGAAGTAATTTCTCATACAGTGAATTTCAAAACGTTTTTCTCTTAAGTAATTATTACAATGACAAGGTAATGCACGAAAACGATTAGATTATATCACCTATTGTTCCGACAATGTAATGTGAACAACTGACGTGAATTGTATGGCTCTACACTACGTCTCTACAGACAATCGCACAATAGAGTTTTTTAGGAATGTCATACTTGGTCACACGTCGACGGCCATGAAATTGGTGAAATCATTGATCATTTAAAAGACTAGCAACTCGGCCTCACTCCGCTCGGGTTCGTCCTTAGTTACGTTTTAACGTTTAGTATAGTTTTCTCAGAGATGAGATATTTTCCCGCAATAAAAAGTATCCTATATGTTTACCCGGATTAAAACAGCTGTCAATAACAAATTTCATCAAAATCATGAATCAAAATCATCAAAATCATGAATCAAAAAAATGAAGTAGTTTTCTCGTGATGCATTCTCAGACACAGACAGACAAACAGACGAACAAAAATTCTTAAATATTCGGCTTCTATATTGATAATAATCAATATTTCAATAATATTTTCCAAAAAATATTTAATGTTCAGATTCGACTCAGAATTTTATTATATGTAGAGTATTACATATAATTTTATTATCTATACTAATATTATAAAGAGGTAAAGTTTGTGAGTATGTGGGTTTGTGAGTTTGTGACGTTATAGGGGGTAATCTCTTGATCTACGGAACCGATTTTCAAAATTCTTTTACCAATAGAAAGCCACGTTCTTTCTAAGTGTCATATGCTATATATTAACCCAAAAAATGAAAAGACTTTTTCATGGTAGTCGGATTTGCAAAGTAAGTCGGAGAAAAAACGGTCGAACAAAAACGTTTCTTACGAACGATGAGAGATTTATGATTATAAAAAGATGTAGAGCTTAATAATGCCTACAAAAAAGTCACCGACAGCATATGTCTAACTTTCATATTTAAGTCACAAAAAGTAGTTTTTTATATTAAAAGAATACTTTAAATCGGTAGGTCATGTTTATTGGTCATATTATCAACAATTATGAATCT